TCTGTGTTCTGTGTTGTTCCATTTTCACCCGTGTCTCATCTTTCTCCCGCCAATGCCCACTCCTTCGTCGACATGTGTGCCCTGTTCTCACGTTTCACTTTCACTTTCCACTCTACGTTCCGCTCTCACTGTTAGGCTGTCCATCATTGCCACTGCGAGAGAGGCTGGTCTCACCGTCAGCATCATCCGCGTACGTCACAACACACACACACACACACACACACACACACACACACACACACACACACACATACACTGCCTTGTTGTTGCCGCGTGTCTATTGCTCGCTGGTGCACACGTGTGCACGGATCGATCTGCGATTCAAACTCTCCAGTCGCACGTCCTACGAGAAGCCAAACTTGGTGGTGGCGGTGCCGGGCCCTGGTGCCTTGGGCTGTCGTGGTCACGGTGGCGGTGATAGCGGTGGTGGTCAGCTGAGGTCAGTTGAACACGGGCAGGCAGGTAGGCAGCAAACACTCGCAAGACAGACACACACAGACAGACACACACACACACACACAGACACACACACACACACACGCATGCATACGTACTGCTCCGAAAGGTGATGGCTTTGCACCAAACGCGCCCTGCTGTTGTTGTTGTTGCTGCTGGCCACCAAAAGGGGATGGCTTGGCTCCAAAGGCCCCGGTGGTGGTGTTGGCTGTTGTCGCCGCGCCACCAAAGGGTGATGGCTTTGCACCAAATGCGCCCTGCTGCTGGCCCCCGAATGGTGATGGCTTTGCACCACCAAAGGCACCCGTTGTGGCAGTGGTGGTTGCTGCTCCAAAAGGCGACGGCTTTGCGCCAAATGCGCCCTGTTGCTGTTGACCACCAAACGGTGATGGCTTGGCTCCAAAGGCCCCAGTCGTGGCGCCACCAAAAGGCGATGGCTTTGCGCCAAACGCGCCCTGCTGTGGCTGCTGTTGCTGTGCAAACGGCTGCTGCGAGTACTGGGCCATCATCACTGTGGCGAAGATGCAGCATGGCAGCAGTGGTGGTCGTCGTCGTCGTTGGCGACAGGCCACGCGTGAGAGCATGCAAGGGAGAGCGATTGTGCGATTGTGTTGTTGTTGTTGGTGTTATGGTGCATGCTTGAGCAAAGGTGACTGGTGTGAGAGGTATGAGCAGGCGCACGCAGGGCGGGAAGAAGATGAAGGGGTAGTGGTACCTGCTTGCTGCTGCTGCCACTGCCGCAGGAGGGCCGGGTTTGCTGTCAACCAAGCGGCGACGGGGTGAAGACACGAGCCAATGCAGGCAATGCAGGCAATGCAGGCAATGAAGCGATTGGGGATTGGGCACACGAGGAGGAGGGAAGCAGTCGTGAGGAACAGAAGTGAGGAAGAGAGAACCATGGTCACGCGCGCAGCCCATGTGAGCAACGGGGATAACACAACCGCGCCTCTGTCATGAGACAAGAGGCAGAGTGCACGTGTGTATGCACACACAGTGTGCGTGCATTGTAGGTTGATGTGTGGCATGCGTGCGCGCGCGTACCAAATGGGTTGAACGGGGCTGGGAGCCCAAATTGCGGCCCACTGGACTCTTCATCCTCTGCAGATTCTACAGAATACAACAGCAGCGGCGCAGGAGTGGTTGCAGTAGTGATGGAGTGTGCATGTGTGAGTGACCAGATGGACAGCAGGAGATGGCACACTCGAGAGGGAAGGAAGGCCGTGACCACGTATGAGCGTGGCGCGGGCACACTTGGGCTTGCATGTTTAAGTGCAAGGGACCACTCAACGACGACGACCACGACCACGACGACGACGACGACGACGACGACGACCACGACCACCACTGACCTTCCATAGCCACGGGTTTCGGAGCCGCAAACGGGTCTTCAGGGTCATTTGGTGACTTGGGCTAACAACACACACATGTGCATACATATGAGGCTGTTGACAAGGTGATGTTCATGTGCATACGGGTGGTGCCAAGGCAGTGTTGAGTGATTGCACACGCGCGCGCGCACGCACGCACGCACACGCATGTACACACGTACACCGCTTACCAGGTTCTTGTAGAACTGTTTGTATTTTTCTGCCTCCTCGGCCACGCGCTGTGAGAAGAGGTGGCGATAGTTGTGGCGGCAGCGAATGAGCAGGTGGAAAGGGTGATCACGTGCATCGTACGCACACACGCACACATTCACAAAGAGAAAGAACAACAACGAGAAGGCACATACACATAAGATGCCTCTGCAAGCAGATGTGATGCTGCTCCTCCCACCACCACGAAAATTGTCACCACCACCACCACCACCACCACCATCCATCCATCCATCCATACCTCGTGGATGTGTTGTGCTTGTGCGCACAGGTCCACAAACGACTGCGCCTGCATCTGCAGCAGCTCCTGCGAACGCACACGCACACACACACACACACACACACACACACACACACACACACACACACACACACGGTATTGATGGTGGTTTGTGTGGCAATGGATTGTCAACAACACGTGCATGTGTGCATGTTATGTGTGCATGTGTGTGCGTGTATGGTGTATGCATGCGTGCGCATGTATTGGGTATGGGATGTGCGCACTGCATGCATGTGTGCGTGTGTGTGTTGGGCATGCTACCTGGAGGGCCTGGGCGCTCTCGTGAGCAGAGGATGCGGGCGTGGTCGTCACTGCCAACTCCAACTCACGCGTCTGCGATCGATACACTGATGCACACACAAACACATATATACGCACACAGAACATACATGCACGCACGCACCACACACACACACACACACACACACACACACACACACACACACGACAAGAGGGTACATAGCATGAGAACATGGATATTTGGGCAGCAAACCCATTCCTGCAGAGCAGTACAGCGGCAACCACTACAAGTTGCATTTGTGTGCATGTGCATGCAGCTGTTTGCACGTGCGAATGTCGCTGTGCTTACGTGTTAGCTGCTTCTCAAATTTGGCCAGCAGCCGCTGGAAATATCTGCCAACGACAGCCGCAACCAGAGACAGTGGTGAGACCGACATGCAAACACGGGGATGACAAGCGTGCGATCCAACGACGCAACCAGCAGACACACACACACGCACGCACACACACACACACACACACACACACACACACAGGTGGCACAGCACTGACTCTGTAACGGGGGAGGAGGACTGGCTGTACGGGTCGGCGTATGTGCGCATGTCAGCTGCGTGAAGGCGTTCACACACGCTCGCGTCACTCGCAGTCTGGCATGGGAACAGCCGGGGGGGAAGGGATTGTTGTAGAGGAACGATTTCGGCGTGATGAGGTGATCATGTGCAGGTGGTGCCACGACAGAAGTAAATGGGAAAAAGAACAACAACAACAACAACAACGACCACGACGACGACGACGACGACGACGACGACGACGACCACACACACGTACAAGCAAACTTTTCTGCCTTTCTCTCACTCTCAAAACTGTCACGACCACCACCACCATCTCCAACCCCTCTCCCTCCTCCCACAACTTCACTCCAAATCCCAATGCCGCGGGCTGACCTGCAAGCTGTCTTCCTTGAGCCCCTGGGTATCGTCAGCTGTGCGATCAACATCGGATGCAATGGCCAGCAGGCGGCTGTGGAGACGGCTCACAATCCCGTCCATCCCTTGGATCTTGTTCGAAATGTGTTGCTGCACCGCAGACCTGCACACCCAAGGCATGCGACATACGTGTGTGTGTAATTATGTGTTGGCGTGTGAGTGTGTCAGTGAGAGAGACAGTGTGTGTGATTATGTGTTGGTGTGTCAGTGTGTCAGTGAGTGTGTGTGTGTCAGTGAGTGTGTGTCTGATTACGTGTTGGTGTGTTGGTGTGAGTGCGTGTGAGTGTGTGAGTGTGTGAGTGTGTGAGTGTGTGAGTGTGTGTGTGTGTGTGTGTGTGTGTGTGTGTGTGTGTGTGTGTTGGAGACAGGAAAATGGTGGACACGTGTGCACGGGTGCAGTGCACAGGCGCGGCGAATACAGCCCACACAACACAAAGTCACGGCCACGCAAGCCCTTCATGCAAATGCAAACCCTCTTGACCCCTACCGTGTCTTCTTCATCTCCTCAAAGTGCGAGGTGAGCCCGGCCACGACCGCTGCAACCTCGTTGTCGACACGTGCATCCTCCCACGATTGGCTGAGCAGCAGGGGTGGGTTGCCACGCGAAGACAATGCAGAGCACGAGGGTGAACCACGATTTGTGCATGTGTGTGTGACATGTGTGAGGGTTTGCAACACGACGATCAGTTCACCTTGAAGGAGGGGGGGGGGAGGGTCATCTAGCGTCATACCAACCCCGCCATGTGAACCCACCTTTTGCTTTCGTCCTTGCCCTCTGTAGCTGACGTGTTCGCAGCCTGGCTTGTTGCCCCCGTGGTTGCTGCCTTTTTCGCTGCACCCACAAAACAGCACGAGCACGGCACATGGTCAAACAAGCGGCGTGGGCACATCAGTCGAAGAAGTCCCAGCTGCTGCTGAGGTCACCCACCCACCCACATATGCACACACACGTACACACATGCACACACATACCCACACATGCACACACATATAAACATATGCACACACACATACACATATGCACACACACATACACATATGCACACACACACATACACACGTGCACGCGCAGACACGCGTACGTTGGAGTGCAAATCGTGGCGCTGCGCCTTGCTGCTGTTGTTGCTGTGACTGTAGGCTTCCAAAGCCACCTGGCTTGGCCTGACCAAAGGGCGAACCCGCGGGCTTTTGACCAAATGGGGAGCCGGCAGGTTTCTGACCAAAGGGGCTGGTTGTCGCTGCCGTTGTTGTTGCGGCCTTCTGTCCAAAGGGCGATCCCATAGCGGTTGCGCCACCGGGCTTCTGGCCAAACGGCGATGCCGTCGTGGTAGTTGTCGTTGCACCGCCTGGCTTCTGGCCAAACGGAGACGCCGTTGCGCCACCCGCAGGCTTCTGGCCAAACGGCGATCCCATAGCGGTTGCGCCACCCGCAGGCTTCTGGCC